AAGCAGGCAAGAAGATACGTCTTTCAAATATCTCTGTGCTTGTTGTGCTTACAAGCAGTTACTTTTCTCTCCGCCTTGCGATGTGTAAATAGTGCCTGCTTGGCTTACTGCCATGGCTGCATGCACTGCATTCAGTGAGCAGGCATCTGAAGGTAAGATAGGCAGGAATGCTCGGAGACCAATCAGGGTTTTCCTCTATAAATGCTTCTTTCACTAAGACTGGACCACTGGCAAGCCATTCCTAAGAGCTCAGAGCTGACGGCTATCTCAAACTACCAGATGCTCTGATATGAACCCAAAGCACGTGACATTTGTTCTGTCCATCTAAAGTTATGGCACCCTGCTAGGCTCTGAACGTGGAGATCGGGGGTGGGGTTGGGGAATGCTGGCTTACCTCCCTCTGAGATGCGGATGGAGTGGATGGTGGCAGAAGAGGTGAGCAGCAGTGCTCTGCCCTGGCCAATGTACACATAGTGGTCCGGATCATGTCCAGGGCTCCAGGGCTGCAGCTCAGGCCACTGATCAGGGCACTCAGGGGCCACTGCCAAGGACAGAGAGATGTCACTGCTATCATCCACTGACCTCACCAAGCAAGGACTGCCACAGACCACAAGGTGGGGGCGAGGAGGGAGTCTGTCAATTTTCCTGGCCCCTGCCTCCTCCCTCCTAGAGCTAAAAGCAGGGCCTTGGAGAGCAAAGAGAATCCCTGACATAAGAGCCCTGGGATTTAGTCCCATGTCTTTTATTAGTTCGTCATGTATCTGTGAACAAGTCGCCTCCCTTTTCAAGGCTCAGTTTTTCCCTTTAGAAAATGCAGGGTAGACCAGATGACTCCCTCAAGATACTCCGCAATCTAAGGTTAGTCAATGACTTATCCAGATTGCTTGTGTTCCGAGGCATCCTTTCCCCTGGAAAGCAACATTTGAAAAGTTGACAAAGCCTTTTCCCCTTCTGCATGAGAATTTGACTTTTAGTTAATTTTCTCACTCTGTTTCCCTGGAAACCTGAGAAAGATAGTGTTATATAAACCATGTTACCAAGCAACATAGTTTGTAACAAACGTGACCCCGGATTAGTAAATGGCATCTAAACTGGGAAGAACCATACATAATTTATATTTATTCCTGGTGGAGATGTCATGCAGTGCGCTTCTCTGAGTGCCGGGACTCCCGTGACTGGGCATGTCCCATGCAGCAACTCTGAAAGTTGGAGTTGCTGGAAGAGATCCTGGTTCTGATGGGGCTGTTTCCATACCTGTCCAATGACAGTCTTGCTTCCTCTCACCTAAGGAGCAGTCACCTGGGGAACCAGAGAGGATAGCTTCTGGAAGGCTATCTGGAATGCTGCCAGGACCACTCCCACGGAAGAGAAATGCCTGATGCTGCTCTGATGGCAGGTGGTGTTTCTGTCCTAGATTCATGGACCCGGAGTCCCTTCCAAGGTGGTGTCTCCTCAGCCGTGTGGGGAAAACATGTGGCTGACTGGAGAGCCCAGTGGTCCGGGCCTGGAGCCATGAGCGTGCTGAGAAGGAATCATTCCAACTCAAAGGGACAAAGCCTGAGAGGGTCTCACGGCCCGCATCCCGCAGGAGAATCCTGACTGTCCTACTCTCCAGCTGCATGGGTTTGCATCAGTCTTTGCATATGGATTTGGAGGTGGTCAGCTTGATCCTTGCAGGCTCTCCTGTCATTGGGAGCACAATTCCCAGAGCTCTGGCAGCTCTGACCCCGCAGCAAAAGCACAACAGTCACAAGATTGGCCGTGGATGGCTGCTTCTTCGCTGGGGCTGGATATTTTGCGCTCAGTAAAGGTCAGTTTCAGTGGGTTTTCATTTGTAGGAACCAGTGAGTAGCTGGAAAAAGTCAATGTCTTTGGTGAACTATCACCACGGCAACCACCCTTCCCAGGAGGGGCTCCAGGAAGTGCGATTCAGAGTGAGCGCAAGCCCGACCTACTTGGAGCATGAATGGCCGGGGTTGGCTTCCGCATCCCTCTGACGTCAGAACAAAGCACAGACCAGAGGCACAGCCTCTTTTCCAAATGCTTTATACTCAAACAGAAGAGAGAGACCCAGGATGTGAGAGGAGATACCCGGGGAAGCATCTCCCCAAGGCCCTGAGGTGAACCACCTTAAAAGAGAACCCCAAACCCAGTTCCTGGCACAAGAGTCAGTGCCCCCTTGGTATTTATTAACTGAATACATGATGGGAGGATTAAATGAATGAATTCAGGCCATATTGTTAATTGTTGCATTGAGAGTTAAAATACCGATTCTTTGCTATGTCCCGTAAGGACCAAAAAGATTCTACAAGGAATCACGTTGAAGGAATTTCACTAGTGACTAGAGATTACCTCCATCCATCAGTAGATTGAGAAAAACAAGATATAATACAATGCAAGGTCATTTATTCTCAGTATAGAAAAGCGTTCATTTCAAGTAGTAATAATAGCATTTTTGAGGGGGAAGAAAAGCAATCTATGGTGATGGTATTATTACTAAAAACCTCTATTCAAAAAATTTCAATTGTCCCCATCTTTCACCTCCTACCCCAAGCTTGGTTATTTGATTAGCTTTTTTATAGCCCACACAAGTTTGCCTTGTGTCTCTGGATGTTAATGCAGAATCACTCAAAGAAAAAGCTGACAATATTGAAATCAGAAAAACAGGTTTAAACCTCGCCTAGAGCTTAACAAGGTGCTTTAATGCACCCGGATCTCACGATGGCAAAGCGGGAAGGGTACATTGAAACCAGATGGCCCAGAGGCAGCGAGCTGGCTGGCAGATAGGGGTTCTTTTCTGCCCCACTCCCACCCTGAGTGGCTGGGAAAATTTCAGTTGGTCGTCTTCCTTTAACAAGAAGAGAGCTTTCACATAAAAGCCTAGATTTCTGGCTTCTCTTCAAAATTCAGCAGCTCCTGTAAAAAGGATCCCATCTTCCCACGTGGCAGCAATTGGCCAGAACTGAGAAGCGGGTGTCCCTTAAGTAGGGTCTGAACTCCCCAGGCGACCATGTCTCTGCCTGGCCACCTTCAGCTGGTTTTATGTCCCGTGCCAGGCTCCTGTAGACACTGAGTTTGTAACCCCGGAGTCTAGTCCAACACTTCATTTTGTGGATGACGAAACTGAAGCCCAGAGTGAGACTTGCCCAGGATCAACAAGTTAGCGGGGCAGGCCAGAGCCCAGACACCCCAGCCCCGCCCAGTGGCTCCTTCTCCTGGCCCCCAGCAGCCTTGCTTCAACAAGGGGCTGCACCTTCCTCACTGAGACGCAGAGTCCAACTGCTTTGCGGTGGCTTACCTGTGGATATAGCACCAGGGAAGTGGGCCAGGATGAACCAGCCGACTGTCAGCATCGCCTTGAAAGAGACATTCAGCCTGTGAGCCGCTCCCATCCTGGCAGAATACTCCCTGAAACAGAAGCACCCCGAGTCAGACCTGCAGCTTCCCCGAGCTGGAGTCAGTGTGTGTGGGCAGACACACACAGAGACAGGGCCACATGCACACACGGAGGCAGGGCCAGCGTGGGCATACTCCAGCCGGCCAGTGCAAAGTCCTCAGCTGCCATGACTCAGGACTGGGCAGATCAGGGCATGCAAGCCCTGCCATCGTCCCACCTGTGTCCTGCAGCTCAGAGACCCAGTGAAGGATGGAATTTCATCCTTGGCACAGGAGCTTGCTACCCTCCAGGATGAAGTTTTTTTCTTAAGTTAAAAAACAGAGAGAGACACAAAAATCACTCCCACAGAACATGAGCTGGAAAATAGATGCCACCAACTTGTTGTGTGATCTCAGATGATTTGATTAATTTCTCTGGGCCTCAATTTCCTAATCTGAAAAATGGGGATACGGACTGGCTAATTTGTAACCTTTACTCCACCTTTACCCATCTGTGCTTCTAAAACAAGTCTCGATACTAATGTTGAAATCCTAAATACAATGCTTATGTGTTATAAACCCTTTTAATATTACCTATCCAAGAGGAAGGTGGGGCAGAGACAGCTGATTATCCCCAATAACAATTTTTTTCCCTCCTTAGTAAAAGAACCCGATTTTTATCTGGGTATATGGCCACCTAGGATAAAGGCTACCTTCTCCAGTCTCTACATTAGCTATGGCCTTGAAATTAAGTTCTGGCCAGTAAAATGAAAGTACAGTATGTGAATCCCAGGAAATGTCCTTAGGGAAGGCAGGAAGTCTTTCTTCCCTCCTTCCTCCTTCCCGCTGGCTGGAATATGGAAAAGATGGCTGGATCTTCAGCAGCTATCTTTGTCCATGTCTTGGGAGCCATGCACTGAAGATGGCAAAGCAAGCAGAGAGAAGGAACCTAGGCCCTGACCCTGTGGAGCACCGAAACAGCCTGAGACTGTGGATTTATTTTTATGGGTGACAGAATTAAATTTGCATTTTATTAAACTTCTGTTTCATTAAAGCCACTTATATTTTCCCCTTTTACTCAGACAGAAGGTGAATATGGGAATCTGTCTAGGTAAACCTCAAGGCAGGAACTCAAAAAAGATGCCAGATTCCCCTTTCAGAATATAACGCCACTCGGAAAAGTCTCTGTGTCAAGTCCTCTGCACCACACAAGATTGCTTAAACGGGGCTTGGGGAGTGGCCGGCTCTGGCTTCCATGCCCATGTCTCCAGCTCCTCCCCGGAGCATGAAACAAGCAGACATTCTCCCACACTGAGAAAGGGGCCAAATCTATCTCACCCCATACAGGCTCCTCCCTTTGAGTGAGCTCGGGCACAAATCTGATCATCCCTGACCTTTCAGCTCCAGGTGAAGTGCTTTGTGTGAGCTCAGTGAGTGGGGGCAGGCAAGAGGGTCCGAAACAGAGCACACTGGCCCTGAGCCTGGGCCCTCCCGCACAGGTGCGCCGGGGAGGCGGGGGCGGGGGCGGAGACGGTCCTCTCAGCATCAATGTCTGCGGTGTCCTCTTGGCGGGCACCCTGCCTGGCCCAGGCCTGATTGGCAGAGAACAACGGGACCCATTCTAGTCGCCTCTGCAGGGTCACCGAAGTCACGCGTCACAGCATCTGGGAATGGTGCCTTTCCCAGGGCCCCCAGAAGAGGAATGTCTGCTCTCATGCTCTTTGCAATAGAAAGGAGGGGACGCCGGAGACAGGAGAGTTCTGTGGTCCTTAGGGAAAGCCAGAGCCCAGCTCTCAAGTCTCCATCTGTTTAGAAAAGCCAAAGGTAGTTTGCTTTTTGCTACTCAGAAGCCCCAAATCATCCTGGGGCTCCTCTGGAGGGAACCTGGACTTTGGGCTGTGAGCTGGCAAAGGAAGGTGGCAGGCACCAGGCTTGGAGGGGCCAGGGGATGGGAGGTGATCTGGGTGCAGGCACCCCTCCCGCCCTAACTACCGGGTGACCCTCATCCGGCATTTCCTTCTTTGGGCCTCAGACTTCCCTTGTGCACGGTAGGAGGCTGGGGTACAGGGACTTCGTGGCTCTGACATCTCCTGATGATTTCCTAGGTCATTTCAGAGACAGAAAAAAAAAGTCACTCTCTGGATGGATGTGAAAACAATTCCACGTGGAAGGATAATGCTCAAAACCTCTCTTCCCTGACATCACAGAGACCTCCTGCTGGGTCTCAGCGCTAGACACGTCTGAGCCACGCGAGGCAGAGAGCCCCCTGCCCACGAGGTGGCCCCACATGGCTGGGGGCGGTCCTCCGTGCTTTCCTGCCCATGAATGGCTTCCAGGGCCCGAGTACAGAAACCTCGAGAAACACTGTTGACGTGAATCCAAAAGGCTCTTAAATTTCACTTGGGAGTTCTTCACCGAGGGAGGACAGCTTTCTCAGTTGGCCACTGAAAGCTCTCTGGCAATGGGAGTTGGGGTCCGGCTTCTCTAGCTGGCAAGATATGGTCTTGAAACGGTTCCCAGCTGTTGAAGGCCTGGGAAGAGAGCATGTTGGCTAACAATGCTAGAAGTTTCCACAGGAAGCTGTTGGCTGGAGGCTGGCTGGACACTGCCCTTGCTAGGTCCCGATGGTCCTGAGCTGCCCTCCTCCTTAAAGGATGCAATGGAAGGATTCGGCGGTGGAAGAATATGGACACGCTTTGGGGGAAGGCTGGCACGCCGGGTGCTCCACAAGGCTTCACAGTAACAGGTTAAAGTTTTCCAGAAGCTCAGCATTCCCCGTCCAGCTGCGGCTCTGGGCTGTGTTTGCCAGGCCTCCCAGGAACTCGCGGAGGGAGGGGCAAAAGCAGGGACAAGAGGCGTTGCCTGCCACCGTCTGTCTCTGCCTCTCCTCGCTGCCATCCTGCACCCCGGTCCGGGGTCTTTGCTCTTCCTTCAGGTCGCCCCGGGGCTACAGCTGCCCTGGGGTCCAGGGTGTGTCACCTGCAGAGCAGAAGGAGCACAGGATTATGCGAGTGTCCAAAGAGGCCCCTGCGTCCTTGCCTGGACCTCCCCAGAACAGCAGCACTTCCAAGTACGGGCCCTGCGGCACCCCCTGCCCCAGGCGGATGCAAGCTCCTGCCGCCTGCTGAGCCTGCACAGCGAGCAGGTGGCAGAGTTCAAAGTCTGCTCTCTCCTCCAGAAATTATGCTCCTAATTCCTAAAGACTAAATGATTTGCAATATCATCTCAAATTAGGAGAAGGCAGGAGCTGCTGGGATAATGAGAGAGAACACAGCCAGCACTTCTCCAACTTGACTGCGCACAGACATTCCCCGGAGAGCGGGCTAAAACACAGACTCTGATTCGGTAGCTGTGGGGCGGGGCCCGAGGGTCACAGAGCTAGTAAGTGGCACGGTCAGGATCTTGAACCCAGGAGGTCCGGCCCCGGAGTCCATGCTCTGTGAAACAGGAACACCACCCCTACCCCCACCTACCTCCCAGCTGGGCACCCTGGAAGGAGGGAATGTTTGATTTGAGCCATTGTCGACAGATTAATGATCCTGAAAGCCAGCTGGGGTGAAGTTGGGGGAAGGTGGCAAGAATCTCCCTCCAGCATCTCTTGCATCAGGAAAGCCTTGCTGTTCCCTCTCATCATACCTGGGTTTCTCGTTCACAAGCCCTCAGATCTGTGCCCTGGTTCCTGGTGGCCCCAACAGGGCTGTGCAGGCTGGGTCACCTGCACAGGCTCAACTCAGATCCTTTGCTAGATAAGAAACCACAGGCCCATCTCATTGGCTACCAGAAACCACGGAAACAGGAAGGCCAAGCCCCAAGATCTCATTCCCTCTGGACAGAAATCTCTGACGAATCTCAGAAAGCCCTTTATAACATTCCCTAACATTCTCCTGAATCAGGCAAGGGGCAGCCAACTCCCTGACCTGCCACTTACCCCAGCCCTGGCCCAGCTCCCCTGGCAGAGGGAGGCACCTCTTCTGGTCACCTGGTCCTGACACAGTATCCTCAGGGAGGAAAAGGAGGCAGGAGACGGGGCAGCAGAAGCATCCTTCTGGACCTCAGGTAAACACAGGAAGATTCCCAACTCTGGGGAACCCCGGCAGCCCTGAGCTTTTTTCCAGGGTGAGAACCTATGCTAGGGACTCCAGAGACAGGGGTTTCCTCTGTCCATCCATTTCTTCTGAGAGGAGCATATTTAAAAGCCCCTTTGCTTCTGCGAATCACACAACACGTTCCTCTGGCATGAGCTGCACCTTGGAAACACACTTGCCCAGATCTCTCTCATTGCCACAAAGACCGAAAACATTCCCCCAAAGCCCAGGGACATTCCAAAGCCTAGACTCTTCTCCAAAACAGTGCTTCTAATTCCTCAAGATTAAGCACCTTGCCAGCTAGCGTCAGGCTCACAAAATGCAGGAGCTGACGGCAACAGGAGGCCCATTCCAGCCAGCCCCTGCTGCTGCACCTGAACCATCTGGGAACTTGTCAGAATGCAGATTCTGGTCCTGCAGGTCTGGGGCGGGGTCTGGTTCTGCATTTCCAACCAGCTCCCAGGCGAGGCTGCGCTGCCGCTGGGCGGCGGGCCATGCTTTGAGTGGCAAAGATCTAGTGCAGCCCGCCTCCTCCCTGTTCTACAGGCGGGCAAACTAAGGCCCACAGTGCAGAGGGTTATTGCTCACACTGATCAGAAGCAGTACATGGAAACCTGAAACAGTGTCTGATAGGACAACTGATGTCCGACTCCAAATTATGGGATGTGTATCACCTTCTCTGCCTCCCTGCTTGCTTGGGAGGAAGGGGGAGATGGGGAAGACTGGGCTCACCTGTTCCTGCCCCTGTCTCAACTGAGGCATCGCTTTAAGTCATAGTTTGGACAGTAAACACTTGCCTCAGGAGCCCTTTATACTTCCAGAGTCTTAAATTATCTTCCGCAAACAAAAGATCTCTTTTGATAGGGGGAATTCCCAGCGGGGAGACACCTGCAGAGCCGAAGAGGAGAGATGCTGTTCCATGTGATAAGAGAAATTCACCGTCACGGACCACTCCATCCCCAAGCATATTTGAACAAATCCTGTCAGGTCCTCCCGTGTCACCACATTCAAATCCCTCATCTCATCACCGAATCATCTACCGGGGCTGGGACTGCTCTCCCAGGAGCCTCGTTGCCCTTGCCCGCATGTGGGCATCTGTCTGGTCTTCCCAGTCCGTCAGATGGATCCATAGATACGCGAGCCTCATCTAGAAAGAGAGGGCACGTTCCACTAGCGCCCCCACCACCACCTCCTCAGCCTCTTTAGCTTCCTTATACTCAGCGGATGCAAGTAAGTCTTCAGGGACAGGAGCGGCCACCTGACTTCAAGGACGAGTTGACCTGGGTCCCAACTCTGGCTTTGCGGGGCGTGATCTGCAGAAGGTACAGCAGCCCTGCTGGCTGGCGCTCCTCTCCTCTCGGAGGGCAAGCTTGTCAGGGAGCGCGGGAGGCTGCCCAGCTATGGGCTTTTTTCCCTCGCATCCTGTCCTGGGCAAACTCGGCAAGGCTCAGCCATCAGAGCCCTGTGCCCGCCATGGCCAGCAGCCGAAAATTTAGGAGATGCCCAGACTGGCCTGATCACAGAATTCAGTGACATTTAAAGGGAAGCCTCTCCTGGGACTGGGACAGAACTTGGAGCTGCCCAAGTCAAACCATGCGCTCGCTACACACCTTTCCAGCTGGTTGCGTGCGCTCTCCAGGCTGGGTGAGTGGTTGCAGCAATAAACACTTCATCGATTGTGTTTTTTAACTGAACATACCAGCATCGGCAGTGGGTTTGGCACTTCTCCCGGCCTGAAGTTGCCCTCTGTGTGTCCGCTTGTTTCTGAGGCTCTGGAAAGATTTCTGCACCACCTCCCGGGCTGTTCCGCTGCCCCCGCCTCCATCCTCCACACTGAGCCCATGGGGGCAGGAGGACCCATTCCCACAAACAGCTTTATTTCAAAGAGCAGAAATCAGTTCTAGATAAGAAGGTACGGCCGGTGCCGAGGAACGGCAGGCATGAGGGCGGAGGGTCCAGTTCCTGAAGCACCTTCGGTGTGAAGTTAAGGAGTTTGGACTTTCTCCCGAAAGCCTGAGGGGTCTGCAGGCAGAATGGAGGAGCCCAGGGGAACACCTGCATTTTATAAAGTGGCTGCTGGCAGGCGTGGAAGGGAGGGATGGGCGGGAATGGGAGTGCAGCCCGGAGGGCTCTGCCGGAGTTGGATTCATTCAACACATATTTATTAAGTGCCTACTGCACACTGCTTCTAGGCAGTGGGCCACAGAGGTAACAACTCAGGAAAAGACCCTGCCCTGGGTTAGGTTAGAGCTTAGTCTAGTGGGGGTGGGTGGGAGCGGAGAGAAAATAAAGAACAAATGAATGCATCCTGTATGTGTCTGATGGTGTTAAGAGCTTTGGAGAAAATCAAGCAACTAATGGGGAGAAGCTGCCATTTCATGTGGGTGGTCAGGGATGCTCTCACGGAGAAGGTGACCTACGAGCAGAGACCTGGAGGAAGGGACAGGGCAGGGACGCCGCTGGGATATCCCAGCAGAGGGACACAGCAGGTGAAGGACGGCGGGCGGGAGCAGGCTCGGTGTGTCCACAGAGCAAGAGGCCGGGAACAGGCACTGAGTAGGGAGGGCAGGGGATGGTGGGGGAGGGTGGGGGGGCCACACAGCGAAACAGAAGGATGCTGCCTCTCATCACAGCGGGGCCCACCTGGCTCAGCGCTTCATCGGTTATCCAGTCGGGTCGGGTTGGCTTAAATACACCCCGACCGGATGGCATTGTGTTTGCAGTGGTGTGTACTGGTTTAACACGTTGATCTACTGGTTTAAATGAATGTACAGTAGGCCTTCTATTCTGGGCAATGGCTTCAACATGGACAGCTGATTGTCACTGGGAGTGACGCCTCCAGGCACTGTGCCTAGGTCATCGTGGACCGCATGGGCCCAACTTACATCTGTTGTCAAGATTCTAGTGCCCAGAAGGAAGAGGGTCATGTGACACGGTCTAAAAAAGGCTGCCTTCTAGCTAAGTGGGCCACGCAGCACTCGTCTGGAGAGGAAAGATGTTCTCAAAACCGTAGGGCCGTGGAAAATATTTACTGTTAATAGAGCAGTTCTCAGTGTGATTCTGTTCTGTGTTCAAATTACTCGTACTGTAGAGCAGTGGTTGACAAGCGCCCACTTTCTGATGTAAAGGAAGCAAAGGAGGGATGGAGGGAAGACAGGAGGGACTGAGAGAGAGAGAGAGATTCCTGTGCAGATCTTGACAAGCCTGCAGATCATATCCTTACCCCAAGGATTCTCATGCCTTGGGTCTGGGCAGGACCCAGTCATCCAACATTTGCATGCACCCCGGACACCCTGGATGAACTTCATGCAGGCAGTGCCCTTTCAGAGGCATGGGTTGAGACCCATGTTTAGGGTTCTGGCACCTGGACTGTGAACTAGGGGCGTCCTTCAAACTGGAAACAAGGACCTCTGTAGGCAAAGGCCTTCTGACCTGAACAGAATGCTCCTGCTCCAGGGACAAGTGCTTTCAGGAGAGGCAGGGTCCTGGCACAATTTCACAGCAAAAAGTGATGAATTTGGGTTTTGCCCAAGGGGAGAACCAGTCTTAAAGACTGCTGGGAGAATGTGCTTTATTCCAGTGGGTTGAGACCAAGGGAGAATTGGCAGCAGGATGAGGAGAATCCCGGGAAGTGCGGAGCCAGACCATGGACGGACCTTGGAAACCCACAGCGGGCATCTGTGGGTCTCACTTGCCTGCTTCCCTTCTCCTGCCCCCAGCACCTCAGTCTCCCTTTGGCAACCATCCCTCCCTCACTCTCAGTCCCTGTGGTCCAAGTGGGGCTGACCCACCCACCTTGGCTCCTAAGGTAGACCTGAGACCCAACCTGACCAATGGATATATTCCATTTCCGGGATGCTGGGATGGGTTCAGAGACAAAGAAAGGGGGTGTGG